TGACGATAACAGCAACAACAATAAAAAAACACACACAGAGAAGGAAAAGGTACGGTAAAGAACGTGGGAAAGGAAGAATGACGAAGATGGAGAAGAAAAAAGAGAGAAAGATGTAATGAAACGGGAAAAGGCAAAGGAAGAATGAAAAAGAAAGTCACAAAATAAAAAAACAAAAACAAAAACAAAACACACACACCGAATCCGATAAAAAATAAACAAAAAGAGAGAACTGTTTCACGACAGGAAGAGATAAAACTGGAACCAAAAAGACAAAAGAAAAAGCAGGCAAGCAAGCAAGCAAAAACCCGAGCAAAACAAGCGGAGACAAGACATGGGAGGAACGAGTAAAGAAGGGGAAGAAGGCGCCAACTGCCAACAAGCGGAAGTAGGCGCTGCCGGACCCCCGGGGGCGCCGATCAACACGCCGGAGGGAAAGTGACTCCTCCCCCACACCGCCCATGGGGAGGGGGAGGGGGAGGGGGAGGGGGGGGAGGGAGGGGCGAGAGGAGGGAGAGGAAGGTGGGTGGGGGCAAAGTAGGAAGAGGGAGGGTGAGGGGGAGGGAGGGAGGAGGGAAGGAGGGAGGGAGGGAGGGAGAGGGAGGGGCGGAGGGAGTGGAAGATGGGTGGGCGAGCAGAGTAGGAAAATGGAAAAAAGAGGAGAGGTAGGAGGGAGGGAGGAGGAGAAGTGCAAGAGGAAAGGAGAGGAGGGAGGCGGGAGGGAGGAGGAGGAAAAGGTGCAAGAGAAATGCAAAAGAAGGAAAACGAAGTGGGGGAAAAAAGAAAACGGAGAAGAGAGAGGAACCAAAAGGAGACAAAGAGAATACAAGAAGGCGGAAGAGAAGGAGGGGGGGAAGGGAAGCCGACAACGGGAGGGGTGTGTGTGGGGGGGGGAAGGACGGGACCGAGGACGGGGTGGGAGGGGAGGAAGGGAGACCGAGGACTGGAGGGGAGAAGGGGGAAGGAGAGACCGACCACGGAGGGGAGAGAGGGGGGGGGGGCAGCCACCGAGCCTGGAGGGTGTGGGAAGTGCCTAGGGCCGCGCCATTACACAGCTATGGGAGCCACAACCCTTTCCTCAGGTGTCGGTTTAGGGACGGCCATAATCTATCAGGCGCTTTCATCCGGGACTCAGAAGGGTTGTTACGCTACACGCTTGTAAAGTTTCGATAAATTTTGTGTATGTTATTTATCAGTCTTATTTCTTATTATTGGATATTTCCCTATTATTTGGCATTTGTTGAATTTATCGAGCCTAATCACTCTGTAAGTCACTACTATACATACATAGATACATACACACACACACACACACACACACACACACACACATATATATATATATATATATAATATATATATATATATATATATATATATATATATACATGTAAATAAATAAATATATACATATAAAATAAATAAATGTGTATATATATACATACATACATACATATATATACTTCTATGAAAGGCAAAGACAATAATGTTAACAAGAATCCAACACAACGATTAATTTATTACTTAATGTCAGGAGTACTAATACATTTAGAAGTTTAATCACACACACACACACACACACACACACACACACACACACACACACACACACACATATATATTATATATTAATATATATATATATATATATATATATATATATATATATAGATAGATAGATAGATAGATAGACAGATAGATATCCACACACATACACATTCACATCATTCCCCTCCCCTCCTCCCCCCTCCCCGCCTCCACCACCCCCACTTCCCGAACTTGGCCACAGCTCTATAAACGCGATCTCGCCAAGTAAGTGAGGCCACAAACATGCGTCGGCCGTGCAAAGTAGGGGAGCAAACATGGCCGCGGTCTGTTGAGTAATAGGGCAAATAGAGGGAGGGGGGAGGGGGAGGGGGAAGGGGGAGAGGGGACTGGAAGGTGGGGGGAGGGAAGGGGGGAAGAAGGAAGGAAGAGGCAATAAGGGGGTAAATGGTAGAGAGGGAAATAGGGAATGAGGAGAGGGATGAAAGGGGAATATGGATAGGGGAGAAGGAGAGAAGGGGAGAAGGGAAAGGGGGTAAATGGTGGAGATGGAAATAGGGAATGAGGAGAGGGATGAGAGGGGAATGTGGGTGGGGAGAGGAAGAGAAGGGGAGAAGGGAAAGGGGTAAATGGTGGAGAGGGAAATAGGGAATGAGGAGAGGGATGAGAGGGGAGTATGGATGGGAAAGAGGGAAGAGAGGGCGGAAGAGAAGGGGGAGAGGGAAAAAGATAATAAGGGGAGGAGGAGGAAAATGGGATAAGGAAAGGGAGAGGGCGAGAGGCGAGGAGATAATTTGAGAAAGGAGAAAGGAAGGTAAAGGGGAAGAGCGGATGAATACGGGGCGAAGGATAAAGGACAAGAAGAGGGGGGGAAAGAGGAGGGAGGAGAGCAACATATGGCCGCCACGACGCCACGACCCCCTCCCTCCCCCCTATCCTCTCCGTCAGTAAGCCAGCAATCCCAGGGGCGCTACCCCAGCCACCACCTGCCCTGACCGCATGACACGCCTCACGCCCACGACCTTCCACGCCCGCAGCCGCCCATCGCCTTGCTCGACGCCGCATCCGCAGTGCTTGCACCACAGGACGTAATGTGTTCCGGGAAAGGCCATGCGTGTGTGTGTGTGTGTGTGTGTGTGTGTGTGTGTGTGTGTGTGTGTGTGTGTGTGTGTGTGTGTGTGTGTGTGTGTGTGTGTGTGTGTGTGTGTGTGTGTGTGTGTGTGTGTGTGTGTGTGTGTGTGTGTGTGTGTGTTTGCGCGCGTCTGTGTGCGAGCGTGAGCGTCTGTACATATGCAAGCATGAAACATGAGTGTGAGTCAGCGCATTTCGCTGCGGCTGTAAACACACCTTCAAAATACACGTTTGTTTATGCGCTGCGAACTCCCATAAATAAGCGGGCACTTATCAGCCGGTCTTGCCTTAATGGCGTGGCCCGCCCCCCGCGCAAAGGAAGTCCGCCATGCGCAAAATGCTACGGAAAGCCGCCTCGAGCCCTCGCCTTCACCGCTGGCTTCGCAACCTTGGACTTCGGCGGTGCGAAAGGTTGCGCTCCTCGGTTCTTTGTTGGGCGCTGACGGGGCCGCGCTGTTCAACGGGGTATCTCCCGTCGGGTGAATTGGATAATCCTGTTTCTTACTTTCTTCCTCTGTCTCTGTCTCTGTCTCTGTCTCTCTCTCTCTCCTCCACACACACAGGCACACACACACACACAAGGCATACAACTGCATACACGTGTATATATATTTGTGTTTTGAGCAAGTTCTGCGGTGAGGAAAAAATCTCAATCATGGTGGGAGTGGAGCCCCCCCCCTTCCCTCACGTGGTGAACAACGTGGTGTAATAACCCTCGCCTGCACGATGTACGAGAATGCACCCGAGCGCTTGATCTGCCGTGCAATCGCGCCAAGAAAATCGGGGGGAAAAAAGGGGTTCGAACAGCAAGCAAATAAATCGCCATCGGCTCCCCGGTCGCCCCCGCCGTCGCGGCCCCGGGAACCGAGCGCCGAGCGGCCGCCCGACCGGCAGGAGGGCGGCGCGGGCCGGCGCGACGACGACAACGTAAGAGCCCCGGCGACGGCGGCGGAAGTTGCCTGAGTGATAATAATGGCATTCACCTTGACACACTGGTAATGACACGTTCGCTCCGACTTTCACTCGCTAATGGGAATATCAAGCGTGGCTAATTATCCAAGATCCCATACCCGAGGGGCAATTTCCTTTCGCTGCTGCTGTGCTGTTTCTTCATCAACATGGCCCTCCGGAGCCGCGCAGTTTCCTCGCCATGAGTCGCCATGCAGTCATGTCCGCGTCCAGATCACATGGGATGCTCCGCGCCGCCTTGGACTCCCGCCGGTGTTTCATCACGGACACTCGAGCCGGTTTCTATGACAACCCGTAAAGTGACTCACGGGCACGACGGTGGCAGGAGGGCAAAGCCTGCAGCCTTCGATCCAACGAGAACAATGTTCCTCGCCCTTATCACCATCTTCATAACAAGGATATAGTGAACTTGAAAAAAGTCTCGGCAGCTTGGAAGGCATCTCAACTGGATACATTTCTCAGCCGCGTTGAAGTTCCTGACTCGCTCGACTTTACTGCCGCCTAATTATGTTAATTTTGGCCTCATAAAGTAATTACCAGACACAGACGCTCAACAGACGCGTGACGCGGGCGCAGTCGCACGCTGGTACAGTTCCAGCGCACTGGCACAGCCTTGGTACGTCGCCGGTGATAGAAAGTCCGGCCCAACATTTCCCAGGAAATTAAATACCTTCAGAGAACAAATCAGCGAGATGGTTTTGATCCACAAATAATACCCCTAATATATTACGTGATAAATACATTGCAGCCAGGGCTCCAGTCTGATTCCCCAGCCCTGCCCAAACCACGTGTCCAAACTGGTCCCCTTTCTCTTACGTGCCCGACCTCCCCCCCCCCCCCCTTCCTTCCTTACCCCTCCCTCTACTTAAATGTCTTGCCGGATCGCCCCTTAACCCCGTCCACCAAAGTCCCTGACCCATTCACGGACCTTGAAAACTGCTCTCCCCTCCTTCACGCGAATAAAAAGCAGTGTGTGTTTATACACTTCATTTTCTAGTCCCCCGCCCTCCCCCCCCCCCCCCCTTCCTACCAGCACTCCGGTCGCCTGTCGATTCATCCAACGTAAAGAAATTTCCGGCAAAGAGACCGAAACCACCAGGCTTCCCCTTGGTTCCCGCCGACGCCTTACGTAAGTGGCGAACTCTCAGACGGAGAGAGGAGGCAGAGGAAGTTGGAGACGGAGGAGAGAGAGAAGAGGGAGGAGGGAGAAGAACGGAGGAGAGGAAGGTTGAGAGAAGGTTAAAAGGAAGGAGGGAAAGGGAGAGGGAGAGTAAAAGAGGGTGTAGGGGAAGGAGTGGGAACATGGGAGGGAAAAAAAGAGAAAGAAAAAGAAAAAGTAGAGAGAGAGAGAGAGAAGAGAGAGAGAGAGAGAGAGAAGAGAGAGAGAGAGAGAGAGAGAGAGAGAGAGAGAGAGAGAGAGAGAGAGAGAGAGAGAGAGAGAGATCCCCTCGAGCGTGAAACGAAGGAGGAGCTGTCACGCGAACGTCTTCCAGGACGTCGAAAGGCTCCGGCGACGTTTTGGAAAGTTCCAGACGTCGAGGGATATAAAAACAGCGGGGCGGAAGGACACAAACCATTCATTCATTTTTAACTGACATTTTTTTTTCTCTTTCCTGCGCTCGCCATGACTAAAATACGACTGAATGAAGACTACCACAATATATACGAATCCCGGTGCATGAGAAACCTGCTGATGATTTATGTACAAAAACTTCTTACAGTAAGAAAAAAATGTTTAAGTAGCGTGAAGCTATTTAGTAAAATATATGAATAAATCGTCATTATATAATTTTCCCCCCTTTTGCTCCCGCCAATCGAGACCCATTCCCAGTCTCCTTAAACGCCCCACGAGCTGCAGAGATTGCCGATGGAAACGTTTATCGAATGGCTGTCTATTTTGTCCATTTTTGCTCCTCGTCCACATCTTACTCTCCGCCCCCTCTCACTCTCTCTTCTCTACTCTCCCTCACCCCCCCACTCTCTCTCTGACTCACTCTCTATCTCTCTCTCCCTTCCTCCCCCTCTCTCTCTCCCTCTTTCCACCCCTCCCTCCCTCTCTTCTTTCACCTCTCCTCTCCCTCTTTCCTCCCTCCCTCTCCCTCTTTCCACCCCTCCCTCTCCCTCTTTCCACCCTCCCTCTCCCTCTCTCCCTCCCTCTTCTTCCCTCCCTCTCCCTCACTCTGATTCCTCCCTCCTCCTCCGCCTTCCTTTCCCCTTGGGTCCGCCCCCGCCCCGCCCCTCTCCTTCTCAGGCGTAGAACGAACGCCACCTGCACACCCCCGCCCTCGCCCGCCCCCTTGCTCCATCATTTCCGCATAACCTGGCAGTTAGCGCGAATATCTTGCGAAAATCTCGGGGGTCGCTTCGCCTTCGTCCTCTAGAGCGACAGGAAGCATGGAACTTTTGCGCGGTTCCTCCTCCTCCTCCCTCCCTCTCCTTCCCCTCCTCCCCTCCTCTCCTCCTCCTCGTCGCACGTCTCCTCCTCTTCCTCCTCTTTCCGTCGCGGGTACGTTTTGGGTTCGTCATATTTGACGATATAATTTCTGAAGGTCACGCACTCCTTTTGAAAAAAAAAAGTAGGGGCAGGTGGGAACCATTAAGGCTTTTTTTCTCTCTCTTCTCTTTCTTTTTTCCTTTTCTCTTTTTTTTCTATCGTTCTTTCTATTTTACTGAACATTTTTTTTATATAGTCATAGTTATTGCTTGAAGCCCTTGCGTGTTCTGCAGGCACCGTTTTGCAACTCACGATTCGTCAATAACAAAGGGTCATTTACTCAATAAGAATTTTATCGAACTCGCGTGTGTGGTTATGTCGTCGGAGATCTCTTGGGGCTTTTGTCAGTTACCAGATTCGACGCCTAAAACGCATGCGCGCGTGTGTGTGTGAGAAGGAGAAGAGAAAGAAAAAGGAATGAGAGAGAGAGAGAGAGAGAGAGAGAGAGAGAGAGAGAGAAGAGAGAGAGAGAGAAGAGAGAGAGAGAGAGAGAGAGAGAGAGAGAGAGAGAGAGAGAGAGAGAGAGAGAGAAGAGAGAGAGAGAGAGAGGGAGAGAGAAGAGAGAGAGAGAGAGAGAGAGAGAGAGAGAGAGAGAGAGAGAAGAGAAGAGAGAGAGAGAGAGAGAGAGAGAGAGAGAGAGAGAGGGAGAGAGAGAGAGAGAAGAGAGAGAGAGAGAGAGAGAGAGAGAGAGAGAGAGAGAGAGGAGAGAGAGAAGAGAGAGAGAGAGAGAGAGAGAGAGAGAGAGAGAGAGCAAGACCAGCGTTGCGCCCTTGAAAATAACCAAATTTGCGACGCACAAAAGGCTACTAAACAACAAAATAAGTTCAAAAGAGTGAAAAATGGTAATGCGTTTCAAAAAAAAAAGAGAGATCGCCTTTATGTCGAGAGAACGTAAAGGTCAAGCGACCACCCTTCCTCTTCCTCTTTGAACCGGCTATTTTCCTCACCAATTTTTTTTCTCCTCCTTCTTATTTAAGAACCTCTTGTCAATACTTGGAAGGTGAAGGAATTCCGCGCCGCGCAGTGTTTCCGTGACTATCCACTTTCAGGGAAAAAAGAGAAAGAAAAAGAAAGAAAAGAAAATTTAAAAAAACGCGGCCACGGATAACTTCGAACGCGCGCCAAGTCTTCACTTGTTTCTGCATCGGCGGAAAAGGAATCGAATATTCTCGAATAATGTTATCCCGCCTTTTTCCACTCTTGGATTACAATGATTTGTTCTGGCGCTCTATGCAAATCGCGTTCATCACGGTAGAGCCACAACAATGAAGCCCCTTTAAAACAATGCCTCTAAAAGTCACCACCACACGAGCACGAAGTGTGAGGGTGAGAATGAAAAAAGAAAAAAAAGGGAAAAGACAAAAAAAGAAAAAGAAAAAAAAAACAATACCCTATTCTCAGCACCGAGAGTTGAAAAGCCTAGTTAAGGAGCAGAGCTTTTAGCCCTTAGCGCTTCGGTCCGGGAAAGCGCTTTTTGCAGCTCAGGTCCGGAAAGACGCATTTGCGCTGAGTCACTGTCCCGCTGCTGGGCAAGAGGGAGCCACGTCGCCAACGCCCTCTACACGGCCGAGGGTGGAGGACTCCGAGGGCGCTTTGATTTAACCCTTTCCTCCCTCTTAGAATCCCCCCCCCCACCCCACCCCACCCCCATTCACCTCCATCCTGCTCTCTCACCCCCCCTGTGATCTGCCATTCGACGTCGAAAATACGACTCTAGTCTAATGGATACGGTCGGGGAAAAAGGGTATTTCCACGTCCTATTTCCAATATCCTTTAACTACACCCCATAGACCACATAATCTAATGCTATAAGACTTACATCCTGTTCCTTCAACCACTGCGGTCTCTTCGGGAAAACAGCCTTTTGGGAACCTCATTTTCTGGGGCGCAAAAGGATATTCCGAGTCATTCGATTATCTAATTAATCTCGATCACCAGATTTACATCATATCGACGAGAGAGAGAGAGAGAGAGAGAGAGAGAGAGAGAGAGAGAGAGAGAGAGAGAGAGAGAGAGAGAGAGAGAGAGAGAGAGAGAGAGAGAGAGAGAGAGAGAGAGAGAGAAGAGAGAGTAAAGGAGAGTGTTCCCAAAGCGTCTACGGAGAGTACGGCGGAAAAAGGAAAGGGTTGGGAAGGATACAGGATGGGGACGGGGGGGGGGATATGGGAAGGAGGTAGGGGGAAAGCAAGAGGGAAGAAGGGAAGGCAGGGAGGGAGGGAGAGGGAGGGGAGGGGGGGAGAGGGGGAGGGAGGAAGGAGGAAGGAAGGAGAGGGGGGGCAGAGAATTAGGAGTAGGTGGAGGAGAAAGAGGGAGGTAGAGAAGGAGGAGGAGAGGAGGAAACAGGGGGGTAGAGAAGGAAGAAAAGACAGAAGAAGAGGGGGATGTAGAGAAAGAGAGGAGGGAGAAGAAGAGAGGAGTAGAGAAAAGAGAGGAGGAAAGAACAGCAGGAGTGTAGGAGGGAGAGGAGAAACAACCAGAAAAGAAGTACTCGCCGAGAAGGTGGCGCGCGGAGCAGCCCAAGCAAGCGGGTCACCGGGTACAGGCAGCTCCCACGAACCTTACTATCAAACGCAGCCGTGGTATTAGCGGCCTTCGCGTCCGTCGGGGAGACTAGGCCTATCTACTCGTGCGAAATCTGGCTAGTCATGCCCCGAGCCGACTGCCTGCGAAGACACGCCTTTCTCTGTCTGCCTTCGCTTGTCTGAGGGTCTGGCGCTGGGGCGTCGGAAATCGCGGAGGAAGGAAGAGAGGAGAGAGAGAGGAGAGAGAGGAGAGGGAGAGGGAGAGGAGAGGGAGAGGAGAGAGAGAGAGAGAGAGAGAGAGAGAGAGAGGAGGAGAGAGAGAGAGAGAGAGAGAAGAGAGAGAGAGAGAGAGAGAGAGAGAGAGAGAGAGAGAGAGAGAGAGAGAGAGAGAGAGAGAGAGAGAGAGAGAGAGAGAGAGAGAGAGAGAGAGAGAGAGAGAGAGAGAGAGAGGAGAGAGAGAGAGAGAGAGAGAGAGAGAGAGAGAGAGAGAGAGAACAGGTGAGCGAGCGCAGGAGAGAAAAAAAGGCTGTGTGCGAGAGTGAGGGAGAGAAGCAGACCAAGAGAGAGAGAGAAAAAAATAACAACAGACCAAGCAGAACAACCCCCCTCTACAAAAAAAAAAAAAAAAAAAAAGAAAGAAAAGAAAGAAAAAACTAAAGCTCAGCCGCTGTCTGGCTCTCAAAGACATCCTGCTCGCGATCGGACTGGGGGGGCGGGGCGCTAACTCCTTCACCTGGCACGGATTACGGCCGCCGCCTCACACCGTCCCTCTGATCCCGCCAAGCAGAAAACGAGACAGTCATCCCTCCGAGGTGGCCAGCGTCGGGCCATCTCATTCGGGACACTCATCTCCTCCAGGATCTGCGTGAGGAGCTCGCAAAAGCAGCGACAAGGATGGTGCCGGCAACGAGGCAGGAACGACCACGGGGAAACCACGTGTTCTTCACTCGTCTGCTGACGTCTTGCTCAACATCTGGCCTTCTACCCCCCCCCCTCCTCCCTCCCTTCCCCGCTCCATCCTGTCCACGTAACTCATAAATTACCCTCGAGAACAACTAACCACCTTAATCACGCCAAGACGCAGGGGTATCATCCATACAGTCCGTCCACCTCGATATAAGATACCGTGCAAGATACCCAGTACGGGGAGGCGGGCACCGATCGCCGGGGCCTATCCATCATGTCCAGCCATTCAGGTACCATCTCCCCGGCCCCGGACCAGCAAGTACCATCCATCAGGTATCGACCGCTCACGCACGAGAGGCGGTGAGGCGAGGCGAGGCACAGGCGCGCGGGCCGGATGTGGCAGGCGAGCGCGGCGACGCCACATGCGAGCACTGCCAACCGGATCGCGCGGGGAAGTCGCTGCTTGATTCCTCCTCCGGACAAGCCTCGTAATGCGTGAAGTAATAACTCGGCGATGATTCCACGGCCAGCCTTCCCCACAAGCCTCGCGCTCCGTGCTCAAGGCTATTGGACTACAGGCAAACACTACCGGAAGCAAGTGCGTGTCTGGTGTTACCAGTGTCACTTGACTCATTCGCGCACACAATTCAGTGTCTCAGCCTCCCTTGTCAATCCACCTGTCAGTCTGTCTCTCTCCCTTCGAATAGAAATTAAAAACTTAAAACAGACACAATCACCAGTTAAACCGGCCAAAGCTGCCATAGACATACTGCCCAACGAGCAACAGCAAACATGCCGAACGTAAAGCCCCAACGTCCTAAACATACACAACCTCAAGTTACATTACCGCCGCCTCGTTCCCCGATCTTCCCACTTTAATTGCACATAATTCTCGGAACTCCTGAAACACAGTAAAGCCTGATACGGGCTATTATTTTCGAGCAAACTTTCTCACGTTGGCAAGTCTCCCATAGCAAGGGGCAAGATAGAGCCATGCCCGCGGGCCAGTAAGGCCGGTAATGTCTAGCGTTCGGGAGAGGCAAGGGTCTCGCGGAGTAATGGCAGGTGAGGCCTCTGTGCTGTCACCTGGGAAATATATGTGCTGGACGTCCGCGTGAAGTTAATGTGGCTGCGCTGTGCCTAACATGCCCCGTCTCCAAGCCCTGCCCAACTGCCATACATACCTCGGTCCGTACCCTAGCCGTGGCTGCCTGCCATACCCCGCGCCGCCACCGCCGCACCGCTAAACCGCGCAACAGGTGTCTCACATACCTAGAGATTTCACCAAAGAACCTTTGCCAAACGTGGCCCACCGACTAACACAACACGGATGCCCTTCAAATCCCTATAATGGTCGTACGAAGTGGATTTAGTTAATTCACAAACTCTACATACACGTATAACACGTGCAAACACACACACAAAAAAAATAATATTTTATCTTCACAACAGCATATACAACCCCTTCAACACCCGGGTAGGGCATGAGACCTGGTGGGCATGTATGAATGAAGCAGGCGGTGCATGGCGAATCCCATGCCCCTCCTTTGCCTCCCTATGCCCGCAGCGTTGGTACTCTGAACATCACTCCCGCGCTGCCACAGCCACGTGCCCCGGGCCGTACTTACCACACCGCTACCCCTTTGGAGATCACTTACCAAACTCCTTCCCCCGCGCCATGCACGGCTACCCGCCTCGCCACATACCTGCAATACATACATAAACATTAGTCACGTGCCGAACAAGGGGCGCGAGACCATATGCACCCCGATTATTTGGGGAGGGGAGGAGGGGGGTGTCTAGCAGGAAAGGACAAAAGGGAGGAAGATCTGGGGGAAAAAAAGGAAAAAAACCGGAAAACACAGGTCAAAAGCAATACAAGAAAGAGAGAAAAACGAAAAAAAAAACGACCAAGAAAAGATGAGCGCTTGCGAACAAGTCTCCTCCTCCTCCTCCCCCGTAACACATTCACTCCTAAACCTGCCACATACAAAACAGCTGTTTCCCTACCGACCCACTCAAGCAGCGGGACACTGCCCTGCTACCAATGGCGAATGCTGCCACAACGTTTGGTAATAAGTTACTCTGTTACCGCCCCCTTCCTAAACCCCCTTTACCCCCCCCCCCCATCCCAGCCATAAGGATGTCAGCTGGACGGTATAATTTGGAGTTACCTGTAGACTTGGGCGAGTTACTGCCCCCCCCCTACCACTCTCTCTCTCTCTCTCTCTCTCTCTCTCTCTCTCTCTCTCTCTCTCTCTCTCTCTCTCTCTCTCTGTATATATAAATATATATCTACATATGTGTGTGTGTATGTGTGTGTGTGTGTGTGTGTGTGTGTGTGTGTGTGTGTGTGTGTGTGTGTGTGTGTGTGTGTGATCTCTTGTATCTGTCACTTAAAAACTCTTATAACAATAATAACAAAAGGATATATTCCATAAAATATCATAAACACACAAGACTACCTCTTATAGATCTTTAAGGAAAGACAGAACAAATACCACCAGAAACAAACAACCGTCACGTATTATTTACTTAAAACTAATTAAAAAAAACATATACGAAACAAATGAGCAGCGGTGATCGGACACCCCGTTGCCACTCCCTTAGTTAAGGCCGTCCTACTGTATAATAAATAAGCAAGTTACACTGCATGCAATATGCATACAATATAATCCTTCACTAAAACCAAAAAGAAAAAGAAAAGAAAAAGAAAAACACTTCATCAATTCCTTTTAAAACATCTCATTAAAACAAAAAAGATTGAATAATGACAGCAATACATAATGCACAACCCTTCTCAGGCAAAGGCGAGCTCGAGAGGCCCAAGAATGAGCACAGGGTGTGAGAAAGAGCAGAGTGAAAGTGAGTGTGAGTGTGAGAGGAAGGGTGAAAGTGACGGCGGAGAAGAAAGCGGGGAACATCCACCGCTCTGA